GAACCACGTTGGCCCTCTTCCAGTCCTCCGGCACCTCTCCAGAGCACCACGAGTGTTCATAAAGCCGTGCCAGGGGACTTGCAATGACCCCAGCCAGTTCCTTTAGGACTCTAGGGTGAAGATCATCTGGGCCGGCTGACTTAAAGATGTCCAGCCCCTCCAGAAGCTCCCTAACTAAATCCTCATTCACTCTAGGCCCAGGTGAGCCTCCCCCGGGGCCCAAAGGGGGCCCAGCAGAGAGGCGGCAGTTCTGGTCCTTACTGAGGAAGACAGAGGCAAAGAAGTTATTAAATATAACTCAGCAGGGCAAACAATACTCTGGCATGCATCAACCAATGCATCTCAAACAAAACCAAGGAAGTGATTCTTCTACTTTACTCAGCATTGGTGAGAGCACAGCTGGAGTACTGCATCCAATTCTGGGTGCTGCACTTCAACAGGGATGTGGGAAAGCTTGAGAGTCCAGAGAAGAGCCACCCATATGTGATCGATCAGAAACTTGCAAGGCAAGCCACAAGAGGAAGGGCTGAGGGACTTGGGCCTCTTCAGCCTAAAAAAGACAAGGCTGAGAGGGGACTTGGTAGCAGCTTACCGCTACATCAGGGGAATATATCAAGGGCTTGGCAAACAACTGTTCACCAGGGCACCCTAGGGGAAAACCAGGAATAATGGCCACAAAGTCCTGGAAGACTGTTTCAAGCTTAACACTAGGAGAAACTTTTTCACAGTCAGGGTGTCCAGACTGGAATAAACTCCCTCCAGAGGCAGTGCAGTCACCTACTCTGGAGGTCTTCAAGAGGAGACTGGACGGTCACCTCACTGGGGTCACTTGACCCCAGTTGCAGTTCCTGCCTAGTGTAGGTGGGCTGGACCTGATGCTTTTCCGATCTATTAATCTATAAAATAAAAAAAACCAAACTGACCCAGCACCTGTCATTCACTGTCAACATACACGTTCTACAGTCTTCACTGAGTTCCTTGCAATGTTACTGTTTTCTGTTATCCAACTAACGCCACCCTCCCCTCTTTTACAAAGTTGTATGAAAAATGAATTTCAGTTTTAGAACATGCATTTGCACAAACTCTAGGGTTAGACATTTGTTAAGTGTCTACAAAACACAGTAGCTTAAAAAAAGTCATTCAGCACATTTAATACTTCTGAGGCTTATAAGTATTAGGCATTAATATTTTAGATTAGTTCAGGATTCCATGCTGAGAAATGAATTATCCATATGTACATAAGATCGAAAAAATGAGAAAACATTTTATTAAACATTTAACATTTTCATCCCCAGTACATAAATAGTAGCATTCATTTCCATTCTGATTAATATCCATTACAGTCTTTTATTTCCATGTTGAAGATTAGAATGTTTCACATTTTAATGAAAAATATATAAATCACAATAAAGTGCTACTTCTTTTCATAGTAAAGTGTAACTTATCCTGAGAAACAGTTCTTTACAAATCTCTGTCCCAGTACACACGCTGTATACTGCATAGTACAGTAGTTTTTAAATGACTTGCAGCATCCTACCCCTTTTGATGGCTAGTAACTTAATCATGTAAGATTGCTTTTCCCCAAGGGAAAGCACTTTTTGCTTGGTCCCCTCAGACATGGGGTCTACCTCAGGTAAGTGGAATCTGGGAACAGTACAGGCACTACTTTGTCATTAGGAAACCTATGATGTAACACTGTGCATGCAAGCACATTAACAAAAAGCTTGCAACATACATATGGGGACAAATGGCAATCTAGCATTAAAAGGAAGGAAAAAAATCTACAGCGCCATAGATTAGCTGACGATTCTTAGCTCATGGCTTCATTGCTGCATTCAAGTTTCTTATCTTTTACCCCAGTTTTGATCAACAATGATGAGGCCAGAATACAGAGCTAGAGTGTGACTGTCATGTGTTCTGGAAGTGGAATTAAGCCTATAGCAGCTTTTAATGTACTACGATCATGGAACTAAAATATCTGATATTTTAAAAAACTGATCAGCAGAATTACCACTACAGTTCATATACTAGAGTGTGTATAACTCAACTAAGTGACTTGAACCATCACATGAATTTCTTAAAGCTTCCCCTGAACTTTCCTGATTTAGGATTAAGTTTTTATTGGAAATATTTCTAAAAGTGGAAATCAAAAACAAGCTAATGATTGGTTCATTGTTAATGGAAAATAAGTCCCTGTCATGGAACCAAAGTTACATGACAAACAAACGAATATTTAAATGTTAACTCAAGATTCTGCCATGTAAAATTATTTCTAATCTTCAGGATCACTGGATTGCTAACAGTTGCATTTGTGTATATTATTACTTAACAATTTTCAAACTGTATGCATGCTGTGTCTGCCTGAAACATTCTTAGGGCTCTGTTTTAAGGCTACCTAGTGGTAACTTCTTCCACACACAGTTCCACTCAAACACTGAGAAAATACTTCACATTATTTTTGGAAGAAAAGCCCTGTTTGAAGAGACCATATTTAAACAGTTCTAAGTACATGATTAAACAGGAAAGGACTTGTCCTTTTCTGTGTTTACATACTGTCAATCCTAATAGATTCTTAGAGCATAACTACATCTAACAGCGGTTGCTTGGTGAAATACAAAAATGCAAGCCAGAAATGATCATATTCTGTACCAGTCTTGCATCCACTGACAGATTTTTCCCCCTTTAAAAGTGGCTGCATATATTATTTCAGTACTCTGACCAATCTTAATTTTCCCCCCTTAAGTGGCTCTAAAGATGGCTTGTAAAAGAAGCAGCTTGCTTCCTTAGACTTTGTTCTCTCTTGGAGAATTCACAGGATAGTTTAAATGATGACACAGAAGACATTGTTCTCGCACATTCTTAAATTCAGAAACAGGACCAAATTTAGCTCTGATGAAAATCTAAGCAAATAGAGTTTTGCCTGGTTACTGAACATCCTGGCTGAATTTTAAGTCTGTTACTTTGGAATATTTGAATCTTAGACATAAGTCAAACTTGGCACAGCTCACATTGTACAGCTAAGCTGTGGTTGCAATCTTGAGAGACTGTATTAATTGTTTTCCATTTGTTTCTTATTTAATTTACGAAAGAAGGCCTTCCCATATTCATATGTGCTGATCATGATGGCACAAGCAGGAGCAACTTTAATCAACCGGGGAGTAACACCTGCAGGGGAAAAAAAAGGTTTATTTCCTAATTATGAATCAATATTACTTGATTATAGAATGTAGAGCTGTATGCTGTGCAGTAAGTGAAGCAGTATATTATCTTATCCTTGCATAATAAGCCTGCAGGCCACAGCCTTGCAAACACCTAAGCACATGTGTAACATTACACAAGCTGTCCCTAGGACCTAACACTGTTGCCCATAATGAAAGGCACTCTGGTTTTGGACTAGTTTTTGTGGTTCTAATGACTGTGAGCAACCACCTGCAATCTGCAGTTTGTCCATTTGGCTGTAAGAGTGGCAGCCTGGGTGGCAGCCTCCTGTAGTCATCAAGGCACTTCTGTACGCTCCAAGAAGGGCAGCACAGTGGACTCCCCCGCAACCATCCAATGAAGTGGCAGCCTCACCTCTATTCTGTTAAATGAGTACAGAAGCCAAGAGAACCCCTCTGCTGTAGGTATGGGCAGCTGCTGAAACCTGTCTGAGGATTTTGGCAACTGGTGGAATTACATTAGTTTGGGAGTACAGACACAAGGTAAGCAGGGGAACTTGGGAGCAGTGGGAAGAGGAAATATTGAGCAAATACAGAGGAACAAGGAGTTATCTGGGCAGTGTGTGGATGGGAAGCAGGGAGAGTGAATATAGTGGGACAAATTCCTGCCTTGTGGGTACACATTTTATATGAATTTAAGGTTGACCTGTCAACCTCCAGTTGTCACATGGGTGGCACAGGGATGGTCAGGTGGGGATCAGAAACAAGACAAACTAAATATATATATTTTGTTTTAAAAGTTACCCTATTTCTGACTCGGGGTATTTGAGCTCTTTGGCTGATAGTTTTCCCAGTAAGTCTACTTGAGCGTATGGGTTTGTAGGTACACAATCAGTCCCAGAGGTATGTGAAGAAAACTATGATTTAATAAGCATTACGGAGTTCAGCTTCCAACTTCCATGGTTGGACTATCAACACCGAGGGGTATGGCTAGGGACCTACTTAAAGCAAGCATGGTTTTGCGATTTTCATAGAAACTGCAAAAACAGTTTCTGCAGTCACTGCAAAAAATGGCATTTCCCGCAATTTTGTGCAGAATCACCTTAAAATAATAAAAGTTTTCCAGAATACAAAGAAAGTGCAGCAATCCCTGCAGCCATGGACAACATGGTTTGAGAGAGCGCTATTGAGAGACTAAGCTAGTGTGACGTAGACTCAATAAAGGTGCCAGGAAGGAAAACAAAGATTTCAACGCCATCTTTGAAGAAGCCAGATGCCACACTGCAGTCTGAAGATGAATGAAAAAAAATACAAGAAGGCTAAATACATTTCAGCTCAAGATCATTTAAGGCAGTTCCCTACAGGAACCTTGCATGCAGATGGTAATACCTCGTTTTGTTCATTGTGTAACAACTCTGGATGTGTCGACAAAAAACAGCACTGATTAGCATCTGGAGTCTGAATCACGTATAAAAGTGAAAGGCTGCTGCAGAGGCTGACGGTCAGAACAAGAAACAAGCAACTATGCCTCAATCTTTAAAAGAACCACTGAAAGCACTTTGACAAGGAGAGGCTACATTTGCACTAGTGGAGGCATTCACCGCTGCCTACGTTCTTCTGGAGAAAACTGATAACCATGAATTGAGGGACTACTTGAAAAAAAAAGGTGTGCCAAATGCTGGTAGTTTCCCATGTGTGAACAAGCTTTGCCAAGATTATCTACCAGAAGTAATTGCTTCACATGTTTCAGTCAATCCCTGAAATTAATCCCTAGAGGGCAGAAACAACATGATGAAGAAACATGCTGCTTATGTGAACTTTGTCAAAGAGGCCAAATGCCATTGACACTGACTGTTTTGCGAGTCTGTTTCTGATCAGTTTCCACATCTCTACAGCTTGGCAAAATGTTGCCTTACCATTCGAACCAATTCAGTGGATGCAGAACGTGGGATCTCAGTGTACTGATAAGTGTTCACAGGACAGAGGCAGAGGATGTCAGCTGCAACTGGTGGTGAATGCTGCATGCTAATGTTTAACAACTAACATGAATTGTTTCTATCAAAGTTAGCACTATTTAGTATTACTAAACTTTTTGTAGAATGCTAATAAATATTATTTACAATTCATATTGTGTAAGCATTTATATTCATAATTATTTCAATTTAGAATTACATTTAATATTTAGATTTATAATAATGTAGTAATTTATTTGATATTTCTGCAATCTTTGCTATTAATTA